GAATATCTTCCTGAAAACCCACGTCTATTCTTTTTAATTTTTGCCCTATGCGCTTTCTGTGGAAGGAATGGTTGACTACATCTCCCCTTTTTATAACCCGATAAATGGTAGACCGACTGATTTTTGTCAGGATACAAATTCTGTTTAAAATTTGATTTTGCGAGGAATCTGGATTTTCGTGTTTCAGACAATCATACATATTTAGGATTACTCTTTGGGTCTGTTCCTCTAAATCTTTATGAAAGAATTCTGCCTGCACAGGTTATCTCCTCGTGGCTTGGAGCATTTTCCCAAGGTCTCCAAAGAGCCACATTTAGGACACACAAGAACAATCAACACAACAATTAAATCAACAAGTAAACTGAGTATTCAAAAGTCAAAAACACACAAACTAATAAAATCTATGAAAAAACACGGACAGACTAAAGAAAACACGTTTATTCACCGCTACACGGCACTGGCTAAACTGTTTCAATTTTCAGTAGCCACCTGCACTTGTTCAGAGCTCTGAAATACACGCTTTCTCATTGGCTATGTCCACGCATAGGCGTGCTTTACTCCACGTGGACCGGTGAAACTGCCTTTGATCTTATACGGGGGATATTTGCTGCGAAATTTGGCGATTTTTGCAGCAACAGAGCGTGTTAAATATAGATATATAAAACGTACCCGGTATTTCACAGTGTTTCAAGTGACTTCAGATAAAGTATACACATGTGCATCGAGCTTTTGAGCTGCGAACTTCTGATGTCCTTCTCTAAAAATTCTTGAAGTCGACAAAATCTGTGATAATGCGATTTTTCGATGTTTGACAATTTTTAACAATGTAACTGAAAAGAACGTAAAAATGCATATACATATACAATAATTGATTACGAGCTTAGCTAAGTATTTCTTTCCTGACCAAAGGCGTCAAAAATTGAAGAAAATGAGTGAAATTGAGGTTAATTTTCCGGAAAATTGATTGTGGACCTTAATAAATAGAACGGACAAAAATACTCAGCCAATTTATAATATCATACGTTTGAACCCTCAAAAATTCGAGAAAATCGGTGAAAATGCGGTTTTTCCATTTTTTGCGATTTTCCGGACTTAAATTAATGATTTTGTTCAAATATCTAAAAAGAATGCAAGAAACCACTGATATACAGTGAATATTTTTAAGTTTGCGAAATCCTCCTCACCTAAACAAAAAAATTGGAAAAACAAAAAATGTTTTTCTCGAACCTATAAGTTCCACAAATCTATAAAATATCACGATTATGTAAAATATAACAAAGTAGCATGCCAGTCTTCCAAAATCTGTTTACAGTATATTCAGATAAGAGATAGACCGGACATAAACAAGACCACGTGATCATCGAACGCTGTAACATTCGGCAGGGACGTATTAAGAGTCACGCAGTACATATTTTAGATAGTAGATGCTGCTTTGCGTAACTTTGTAGTAAATTAGCACAATTCGATGTGTATACGATTGGTGATGGATATAGGATCATGTGGGGGTAGGGTAAGAAATATATAATGATGTACATATACATAAGGGTTTCAAAATTTTCGCTTCGATTTCCAGCTTCGGATGCCGCCTGATGTTTGGTGAAATACAGTCGAATATAATCTCAAAGTGGCGTTTAAATTAGCCTAAATTAAAAATAATCGAGCGGAGCCAATTTTGAACATCAACTTTCCTTGAAGCCGTTGTTGGGACCTTCTCCATTCTTCGAGAATGATAAGGCGCATTATCCAACACAATTACTGCGTTTTCCTCTAAGTTCGGTAAAATTTTTGAAAACCACTGTTCAAACGATTCGCCATTCATTTCCTCGTGGTAATCTCCAGTTTTCTTAGACTCAAAGCACCACAGACCGTCAACAACAAATCCATCTTCACTGCCAATATGGCAGATAATGAGCCTTTTCCCTTTACCTGGAAATCGAAGTACTAACTGGTGTAGATTTATTTCAATAAGCGAACCTTTTTCAAATGTTTTCATCACATGCAGCGAAAAAACATTGAGACATGAGTATCAGATTGCTATAATTGGGATTATTTAGTCATATTGAAAGAAAGAATATTGAACGTCGTATGATTACTCAGCGCTTCACAATTTAATTTAAAGTTATAAACCTTTAAAAAATGAATGATCAGGAACCTGAAATACGCGCAAATATTAATATTAACAAATTATAACTTTATAAAGCTTAAAGTATGAATTAAAATGATTAGAAATATTAGGAACGGTACACAATATAAAACTTAGTAACTTTTTTTAAGTTTATAATATTCGACATATTTTAAGATTATATTAAAAAATTATTGAAATATCGAAAACACATAAAAACATGGCTTAAAAAAGTTCTAACAAATGAAAATGACAATAAAACATCCACGCATTTTATCGAAAGTTATAAAAGTTTTGTTACTTGTAATATGTTTTATCTGCCCCCTGGAATTAATGTTTAGAAACTTGTTCCCAAGGTTTGAAAAACATCCGATTGTTGTCTATTACTCGTATTTACCTGCTGGATTTTTTAATCCGGTGGACAGTCCATCTAGAAAGGCCCTCCTGGATGAAGTTACAGAATCATCAACCCATACTTTACTTGTAGTGTGTCCTGCGTTTACCTACGTTTCACGAAGGTAATAAATCTTCCTGTTTTGATTTCTATATTTCCCAATTTTTGTTAAATAATCCCTCCTCCATAGCACAATTTCTTCTCTATCCAGTAGTAAACTATTACGACCCCGTTTTTTCCATTTGAAATTTAAATGCTTCAGTAACGCATGGAAAGTTGATCGTTTGAAATTTGGCAACGTTGTATCTCCATTTACCTCCTGCAGTACTTTATCTATAGTAGGTATTTCATTCCTAAAGAAGAATTCATGCACTTTCCTCCTAATCGAATGCTTATCAGCTTCATCCAATGATTTAACAATACTTTTGCGATGTTTACTGGTCATTGGCTCAGAAAAGGTGTGATTTTTTTTGTATTGTCTTAACACATTAAACACACCCCAACTTTGTGAGAAACCTTCACAACAATTTCTTTGATGGTTGATGCCTCGTTCTCCTCGCGCTCGATCTTATATATATTCAAAATGACCTCTTTCATTTCTGCACTCAGGTGTCTTTTTTTAGAGCGTTTCCTAGGTAGACTACAGGAGTTTACAACTTCATCGGCAGTATCTGTACTACTGGGCATTTTGCGCAAGCAGTTGATAACAATAACAATCAATAACAAGGTATAACAATAACAATGACAAACTCAACAACTTAATAAGATAACAAACGAAAACGTCCAAAGAAATATCAAATTGCAATGATGCACACGACATACGTAACACGTCTGAACCTGAATGTGACTCTGCCTTGATACGACTGCTCTGCCGCTCGGCATAGGCATTTAATTGCGAATTGACCAATGAGGGCTCCTGTTTTACGTCGAGACGGCGGCGTTAGCGTGAAAATCACCCGAACCTTTTGTTTACATCCGGTCTATCTCTTATCTGAATATACTGTAGTAATGTTGCGCGCATAAAAAAATTGTTTTTGAAAAAATACGTTTTTGAGGTGAGGGCCACTTATCGCTCTCAAAATTTGACTAATATGCCTTAATTTGGATATTTTTATATCTAGTTTTGCCTATAGCCCTAGGAAAGTTGGATTAGAGTATTACGATCAAAAATCTTAAAGTCTCTCTTTAAAAGTAAATTAAGTTATGGAACTGATTTTTCTTTAATTTTCGAAATATAATTACAATTTTATATTTCCTTCTAAAGCTACACAGTGCTGGAAATGGTTCTTCCACTCCTCATAGCAGTGCTGCAATCCCAATGCTGGAATAGCCTTCAGCTGGTCGGTTACAGCTGTTTGAATGTTTACGACTGTCCCAAAATGAGTTCCCTCAAGGTTATTTTTCATTTTCGGGAATAGAAAAAAGTCACAGGGAGTCAAGTCAGGCAAATAAGGAGTCTGAGAAGCCACAGGAATGTTTTTACTAGACAAAAAATCATTTATTGATATTTCTATGTGCCAAGGAGCATTATCATGATGCAACACCCAGTGTCAAATTTAACTCTTCCCGATCATTCTGATTATGAACCGAGGATCTGAACGCGCATCCCGAATTCTCTTGATATTTTAATCAGTTCTTGAACATGAAGGCCTTCCGCTTCAATTGACTCTCTCCCTTCTGACCGAAAAACCAGGTCTCTTGACAAAACACCATCTCCGAAGGCCTATTTAGAAGGAGTTCCCGTACTCGAGCGAGTTCAAACTTGTACTGAAGGCAGACCAAATATTCCCCAGTCTCTCCACCCAAGCCCGGAGCCTCCAGCGTTGCCAGATCAGTACCTAAATTACAAACCTCGTAGATCGAGATTCGGTTCGAAAAGCTCTTTATTTTCTCCATATCGATTGCGCTATTCCAATATACTCGAAATCACGAAAGATGACTATTACGTCATCATTTTAGTCTGCAGTAAAGACTAACGACAGCGATTTGTGAATATGTTTAATGAAGTTTTAGATACGTTAGACAGAGACTCTAAACTGTATTGCTTTGCATGTATCCGATGTTTTCATGTTGCATGATCGATCATATTTGAAAGATCAATAGTAAGGTTATGTTAAAGCAGGTTAGGTTGCATTCGAATAATACTTTGGTTTTTGGTGTTCCTGTCTTAATGTATTCTACTCATAACTGTTGTTTTCAAAACAAAAACTCCCCACTAAAACTATTATTAAGGTATCATTCAAAACCATGGAATAAAATGAAAATAAAAATAACCTAACTTCGCAAAATCATATCATAAATTTGTTGTCATTATGTTCCTGACATCGTGAATTTATCATCGACGTACAGGGTTTGTCCGGAAAGTAATAGGACTCATTTTCTTATCTTTCGTGATTTTGACTATATTTAGCATTCGCTTTATTACCACATATAGACACATGCTTGACAGCTACGACTCATAGCACTCATGTTTTTTTTTTTCAGGTGCGAAACTTGTATGAAACCGTTCAACATCAGCACTCACGCCGAAGAACACAAATACTTCCACACCGGCGAAACGCCTTTCGAGTGCGACATCTGCAACAAGCGTTTCATGTTTTCGCGGCTGCTAACAAAACACAAAACCTCGGCCCACTACGAAAGAGTATTCGGCAAGCCGTTCGTTAAATACGACTGCAAAGTGTGTCAGAAACACTACGAGTCTCTGCCTGGTCTGCAACGGCACATGTACAGCCAACATAACGACAAGGGCGTGGACTGGTCAGTGATATGTGACATTTGCGGCAAGAAGATCTCTTCAAGGGAGAAACTTAAATACCACATGAGGACTCACAGCGGATACAGGCCTTTTCAATGTGCCAAGTGCCCGAAAACGTTCCCTAAGAAGGACCAACTCAAGGAGCATGAAAGGGTCCATTCGGGGGAGAAGCCCTTCATGTGTATGTACTGCGGGAAGAAGTTCGGACATCGGGCGCCGTACAGGTACCATATTAAGACCCATACCGGAGAAAGACCCCATCAATGTCCGGTCTGCGGGAAAGGGTTCATCTCGAAACAAGCTAAGGAAGGACATGCGGCTACGTGTAATGTGAAATGAAACAAGAAAATCCAGCAGGGAAGCAGTATTTAGTTCCTAGCAAAATTTGTGATACCGACATCGTGAATCGATGTCTTTAATTTAATTTGTTTCTATTGTATTTCAAGCGACTTTTAAGGGATGATTCGTTTGGACGTACTTTCTTCAAAGGAAAAATATAATCAAATGCATCAGGTTGTGTTTATTATTGAAAGAAATGTTTATCTGGTCGAATCAAACACGTAGCACGTCTTACAATATACAGGGCGTTTCAGTTTATTGTTGCATAACTTTAAGATTCGATAAAACTTTCAAAATTAATGCATAAAGTCTATATAAACATGGGTCGAAAAACGCGTGGCTTCTGAAATACAGGGTGTTTAAATTTACTTTCTAAAACAGTTTTTTTTAAATATTTCGAACAATATTTGATGTATAATAGTGAAAATTGGTATACAAGGGTTTTTTGGTACGACAAAACGAACCATGGGCATAGTTTTGCTGTAGCCGCTAGAGGGCGCTCTCTACTGTACCTGTAGTGTATTAAAATGACCGAAAAAATTTTCTCAGTACAATTTTTTGCTTTTTGAATAAAAAAACTGATTCTTCGCACTTTTCAACATAAAAAAGCTCTCCTGTGAGTTTTCGTTATAGTTAGCCGTTTTTGAGATATTTCGATTTTCAAGGTTCGATGCATTTTTAATTATTTATGGGAAAATAATATTTTTTTTACACTTTCGATTCGGGCATTACAAGTAATTAAGATGGTCGTTTAGATTGTGTTTTTAAACACAGCAATAATTCCTAACTCCAAATAAACACAAAAAACAGAATATTAATTTGTTTAATTTTCCAATATTATTTTTAACAAATTAAATTAATTATTTACAACTAAAATGCTATTGGATAGTTTGGAAAAACATACAAAATCTAAAGTAGTTGCTCGAAATGTAAACCCAATTGTTCAATACACAATTCACATCTACGAATGATCGAACGTGGTATAGCATTATTCAAATAAGGCCTTATTTCATCACATGCATTCCTGATTCTGTCTATTAGCATATCTCTTGTGGTTTTGGGAGTCTGGTACACTTGTTCTTTTAGAAATCCCCACACAAAGAAATCTAATGGATTTAGGTCAGGGGATCGTGGGGGCCAGGCGACTGGTCCTCCACGGCCGATCCATCTTTCTGGATAATTTTCGTCCAGCCAGTTTCTAACTATTCTCGAATAATGAGGTGGACAACCATCAAGCTGGAACCAGGCCAATCTTCTTAAATCTAACATAACATCATCCCACATATTTGCATGTTCAGCCTTTAAAAATTCCAAGAAGGTCGCAGCATTTAACCTTGCAGGCAAAAGGTAGGGTCCAAATAGTTGATTACGGTAGATACCAATCCACACGTTCACACTAAATTCATGCTGAAAATTTCTTTCCCGAACTGCATGCGGATTTTCATGCAATATGTTGATTATGAAAATTTACCACTCCACGTCTAGTGAAGCATGACTCATCGGTCCATAAAACGTTACTTAAAAACTCCCTATTATTATCAGTTCTATCAAGAATCTACTGACAAAATGTGATTCTTCGTTCTCCGTCCCCTGGCTGTAGTCCTTGCATAGGTGGCAAATGGTAAGGACGTCTATGGTCATTTCTAAGGACACGGTGAACATGGCTTGCTGAAATTCCCAACTCACGCAGAATCATACGGGTAAATCTGCGCTGACGAACATTTATGTTTTGATCCCTTTGGAGATTTCCAAAACCATTTTCAATTATTTGGCGATGCACTCTTACAAATACTGAGCGAGTTGGATGTCGTCTGATTGGAAATCTTCGTGCGTATTCTCTGGCTGCTTCTGCTGCGTTTCCATTTACAAAGCCATACACAAAATGAATATCCGCTAACTCCTGATTGGAGAATAAAAATGGCATTTTTATAAAACTTACAAAAAAAAACAGGTAAAAGAAACTAAATTTCGTGCATTCACAATTGCAAAAAAACGTTTCAGGTTTCGACAGACAACAAAACTAACTGTCAACTAATTGACGTTTAACCTTTTTAACGTTATTTTATCATAAATAATAAAAAAATGCATCGATCCTTAAAAATCGAAATATCTCAAAAACGGCTAACTATAACGAAAACTCACAAGAGAGCTTTTTTATGTTGAAACGTGCGAAGAATCAGTTTTTTTGTTCAAAAAGCAAAAAATTGCACTAAGAAAAAATTTACGGTCATTTTAATACACTACAGGTACAGTAGAGAGCGCCCTCTAGCGGCTACAGTAAAACTATGCCCATGGTTCGTTTTGTCGTATCAAAAAACCCTTGTATACCAATTTTCACTATTATACATGGAATATTGTTCGAAATATTTAAAAAAAACTTAAATTTAAACACCCTGTATTTCGGAAGCCACGCATTTTTCGACCCATGTTTATATAGGCTTTATGTATTAATTTTAAAAGTTCTATCGAATCTTAAAGTTATGCAACAATAAACTGAAACACCCTGTATATCTATCTTGTCTCATCAAATGTGGTTTTCTACATGCCACTCGTGAAAGTTGTGATGTAACTTTTTTTAAATGTAGACTCATCAGTTTAAACAACTTTCTCGGCGTCTCTGTAACATAGTTTGACAAAATTCAACTCTTGGGGTTGTAGAGATTGTACTCCCTATTCATAGTAAGGGTTTACCTCGTTCTTTCGCAAGACTTGGTGTGCTGTACTTTTGGGCAGTGGCGTAGCAAGAAGTTTTCTGTCTTAGCTTTTTATTGTGTTTTGTTATTTGTTCAATATTTTAAATATGAATATTAAATGATCCATGACGTTTATAAATCATATAAAATTTATTGATTTTGACTTCCGCACCAGATAGCTACGCCACTGCTTTTGGGCATTCCCGTGCTTGCTTCTATTTGACGCACTGATACTGACTGCTGCAACTGACAGTAAAGAACCGCCCTATCCTCGTAACGAAATTTTTTTATAACCTATAATTGGAAAAGTACACGACTTAGATTTTTTTATATTTCCCTGATAACTATTATAGCTTTGCCTATCCCTCGTTTCCGGCTTGACCAGTGGCGCTCCCAGGATTTCAGTCTGGGAGGGGTAAAATGGAAAGAAAATTCTCAGTGTGACGTACTGAAGTGTTATAGTGATTTAACATTAAAAGCATGGACATATGCAGACATGAATTTGTTACAGTAATTTCTGTAGAAAATACATACTTTTTTTTTTAATTTTGAATCATACGAAATCAAAGTGTAAATAAAGGAAACCAAGCTCGAGCACCCTTCATATATTAAAACAAGAATGGAAAATAATATCGTCTAACGCACTTTTCTACATAACAATGTCAGACAAAACAACAAAAAATACATCTTCATGAAAAAAATAAAACTAACAAATATGTTATATAAAGTATAAAACTGAATGTAAATCAAAATAAAATTCTTAATCATGAGAAAAACACAAAAAATATTCATTGCATAACTGCATTCTCTTAGCAAGTCTCAAAAAACAAAAACATATAAACTATGAAACTACATCAGTTCACAGTCTCAAAATAAAACAATCATTACATTAGCTTAGAAAGTGATTTGAACAGACTTTTATATCAATCTGCTGGCCAATAAATAAAACCACACATCTTGATTGGATACTTTGGAAAAGATCACCGTGGTAGTTTAAACGCAAGTAAACCCTTAACTACATCTGCTTTTCTATTTATTGGCCAACAGAAGGGAGATGGATTTGAGAGACAACCTTAGGCAAAGTTCAGGTGTTAACATATTACAAAATCAAGGCGCCTATTCTTTTTGCTGGCGAACCGATCTATGATTGTATTCACGTCTATTTTAATATCCCTGCATATACAAAAGAGCTAAACCCGCTAATCGCTCTTGTAACATAGTGGAGCGCAGCCAACTTTTTATCCTCTTTAGATGGGAAACTTCTTTCAGATGTCGCAACACTTTTGCCATACAATTTCAAAAATTTCTTTAGTGGTACGGTAACAAGTTTTCCCAATTTAGTTCATTTATGTACTCCTGGTAATTTTGCAAAAACCACGCAATATTTACAGAAAAACCCTTGTAGTTCCTCTGAATATGGCAGCCAAGGAAATTTCTCAAAGTTTTTTTTTGATAAGTAACATTTCACTTTATTATTTTTCAAGTGTGTGGAATAGGGATATTTGAAAGAGTCATTAGGGATCATTGCACACCTCAATAAGGTATATTTTTTATGGGAAGTCAAGTTACCGCTGAAATTTACATATAGCGCAACATCAACAAAATTGGATCCTTTAGGTTTCGCACCCGTTTGTTCAACACTTGGTTCAACGTACGGTGCAACATCAAGAAATTTTGAAGTGGAAGGCTCAGGTTGAATTGTAGGATTATCATCAGTTTTTTCCGGAAATTCTTGTGCCGGTGGATCAGACAGTTTGTTTTGTTTAGAAAAGAACCAATCGATGGTATTCTGTTTTCTTTTACTCATTCTGACAACAGCAGCCGTCATCCAGCCCTAAAAGTTACACCAATATTGTCAAATAAACGGCATTATATTAAATTTCCATTTTTCCGTCTGTCATTTTTTTAGACACGATTCTTTTGTAGAATAAAAATCAAAAACAAACAAAAATTAATTTTCTGGCCTATGCGTGGAAAATAAAATATCAATAGAACATAGAAAATAGCGTTAATACTAACCAGATCAACAAAACTCCGCTTGTTCACTTCTCAGCCAAATTTTGTTGCAGACTCCAGACTGGTACAGAATTTAGACACTAGACTAGACCATAAAAGACTAGACTATACCTGTCTACCAACAGGAAGAAGCGCACAACGTTGCTGTTGGTGGGAGAGTAGACGCTAGTCGCATGCGCACTGAGCCGGTTGGCAGTGTTGCCGCTATCCCTATTCTTAAAGTTAGATTTTTTTATAAGACGTTTACTTTATAGCACCTTTTCAAAGACTGCTCGAGTCGTCTGGGCGGTAGTAGTTACCCCCTTTAACCCCCCGTGGGAGCGCCAGTGGTCTTGACGTCGACTTCTTTATTGTACGAAGATTCTGTCCCAACGCAACGGTGGCCTTTTTCAAGTACAATTGACACTATTGACATTATTATATTTTCTTTAATGTCAAAGGTGTCAATTGTACTTGAAAAGGCTCACCGTCGGAATTGAAACATCGTACATTAAAGAGGAATTTCAAACATAGATTTTGATTCGGCCACGGTTACCTTTTTCAAGTACAAAGTACAGTAACATGACCCTGAAAAAGGCCACCGTGAAACGTCGTACAATAAGCAGAAATTGAAACATACATGTGACCTGATTCGACCAGACCATGG